GTTCTTACTGACTTCTCAGTGGCCTGCGCTTGTGAATAAATGTGTAGAGATTTCCAGGAGTCGGAATCGATCATCCAGTTCATCATCTGCCTCTTCATCTGGAGATGATCGTAGAAAACGACGTGAACGTCATGAGCGAGAAAGACGTCGTACACACCGTAGCGAGAAACCAAGGGAAAGGGAACGCGGTAGAGACAATAGGTTTCGCCGAACGGACGATCGGAGTGAGCGAAGAGATCGTGATAGAGAAAGGGAAAGGGAATATACGGAACGTGATAGACATCGTGAAAATAGGTAAGTTTGAAATGTTTCTCTCATCTTGTGACTAACCTTGTAATTTTTTGTCTTCAGGCCACCACGATCAGGAATGTATCAGTCTCGCCCGCGCAGTTTTAAGGAGGTTTGTTTCAGCAGTTTGATAAGTGGATTTAACATTATGTCTGTAATTTCAGGAGGCACCTTTACCTTCTCTTATGGGACTGGATGTGACCACGCCGCCCATCGTTAGTACTGGTGGTGTAGAGAAACGCGAGAAGTCAAGGAGTCGATCGAAATCACCACAGAACACACCCCAGGCAGCGTCAACAAGTGATCGAAAGAAACGGAAGAAGAAGGATAAATTCAAGAATGATCCAGGCTACCGCTCTCGTAAAACGGAAAGGGAGCAGAAACCAAGGAAATTTAATGAAAGTGAAGACGTCGCTAGAGAAATTGCCGATGAAGAAGCTATAGATGGTACACTAAGAGAAGTGGCAGAGGTATTACTTTTTCGTAAAAGTATAAATTATTAGTAGTTTCAGTAAAACTCGCCATGCGGCAAACGTGTCAGGAAGGAGGGGTTGGGGTGTCTGGGTAACAACGATGCACTTCTGTATTTAGAGAGGCCCACATATGAATGTGTTCATGGAAGAATATTCAGCGAATAGAATTACAGTTATCGAAAAGTTCCTATAGGATTTTTCTATATCCTTGAGTGGCTTCGGCTATTTTTCGTTTTTCTTATTGTTCATCTGAAGTATATGTTCACCACAATATACAAAGTTACCTACGCGCGAGGATCTGGTTGCAGCCTTTCTCGTCGAATTCCGTCGTTTCTGACAAGGGAAAGATAGGTTGTCGGTTTTCAGATGGTGCTACTTACCATTGAGAGTACGGTTTCTTTCCGAGAAAGTGTGCTAGGAAGTAGAATAGGTGGCCCATTGACACGAGGTTAGAGTACACTGTGGAAGTAACATCGTCTTCCTGGGAGTCCAATTCTCTTGGATTTGCTAGATGGTGGAGTGGAATGGTCTCGGGAAAAGGTAGAGCAAGCTGGAGTTAAGTTAAAGAATCGTGTGGTGGCTGGTGTGGGGATCATCTTTCAAACATTCCAAACAAAACTAACGTGTAAGTTTCATATCTAGCATATCCGCCTTCGTTTCAGTTCGTACGGGTAGAAGCCAACTGTGATGATGACGGCATTGAGTTTGACATTGAGGAAACGGACGTGGTTAAGGATGTTCTGACTGAGGCGGAAGATGAGAAGAGTGTCACAGATACGGAACCTCCACCTGAAGAAGCTGTAGATGTAAGTTCTGCTCAGTGGGGTGCTGTTTTCTCCATTTTCACCTGATCCATCGCAATAATTTGTTTCTATTCCAGACAGCTGTGGAAGCATTGAGTGAAGCAGATAATGAAGAGCCGGTAGAACGTCGATCCGAGTCTGATGCCACTCATTCCACTTTGGTCACTAGGGATGACACCACCGACAAGGAGCGCGATACTGTTGTTGAAGATCACGCAGTAGATGATGAAGATCGAGAAAGTCCGAAGAAAAAAGAGAAGAAGCATAAGAAGCACAAAAAGCATAGGAAGCATAAGTTAGTATAAGCGGTCATGAGGGAATAGTAACTATGAATGGTTTTTCTAAAAAGGTCATTACAGAGATGGTGAGGATGCTGCTGAGGGTGAGTCAAAGCATAAGCATAAACGAAAGAAGGAAAAGAAAGAGAAAAAGGAGAAGCGAAAGAAAGACAAGAAACATCGTCATGGTAAAGATAAAGACGAGGATACCAGCGACAGCCGAGTTAAAGAGGTAATTTATTGTGTTATATTTTCTTCGGTATGAATCGTGTTGTGCTAATAAGAGATCGCCAACGGTCGACGGACTACTTGAACTCACAATCAGCCCTTTAAACCGCCTCTGCGCTCTCTCGCGGGTCCCTCTCCTCTCCAAGGCTTAGTCCTAGGGCATTCACCCGTTCTCTAATCGTCTGTGCTCTAGCCATCGCGGCAGGACCATTGAGGAAAAATCAAGTAGTCCGTAAACCGATCGCCAACCCGACTCTTTGAAAGAGAAATGCATAAAGTTGCATTTCTATTGAAATTATGAGCTGAGCACTGTTCCCCATATTATCCAAATGTTTTCGGAACGAATTTTTGAAAGTTTTCAGTCTACGCTGCCTCAGATGTTATGCTCATCGAAGTTACCTTTGGCTGCTCGCGACCTCTTTATATAAACATTCACAGACAAATGTTGATAACGCGATGAACCTAGAAGTTCTCATAGCCATGTTGCTGTTGTGATCAGAAAGCACCACAACAGCAACATGGCGACGAGTAGTCGTTCCATTCGCCTTCTGCTAGATAGCCTGGACCACTACCGCTGCGCGCTTCCCCTTCAAAACTTCATCTAGAGACTGGTTTTCCAGGTAAGGGAAGCAGTGTTGAGCTCACCCTCTTAAGGCAATGCAGCTCTTAGGCATCCTCAATCGTATCTGGCTGGGTTTACTAGATGGCTTCCCTTGTTAGGTCGACGGCAACTTAGATAACATTTGCCTTCCGCGATGGCTTTCACTTTGTTGTGCAATTCGATTCTTTTTTCAGGAAGAAGCTCATGAGAAAGAAAGGAGGACCTCTTGTGATGTTGCTGAAGCGAAAGATACTGAACATGCCACTCTTAAGGAGGAACGGCGGGGATCTGATAACAACAGCAGTGCTAAAAGGAAGGAACATCATAAAGAGTCTACCAGTGATCGGAAGTATGAGGAAAAGGAAAGAAAGTCTAAGGGTGAGAGTAGCAGCAAGCGACACGATGACAGACATGCTGAGCGCAAGGAAAGAAGTGCAAGAGAGCGAGACCGGAGCATGGATAGGAGACATGGAGATAAAAGTCATAGAAAGGAAGAAAAAAGTAGAAATAGAAGTCGTGAAAGAGATGGGCATAAAAGCAAAGATGAGGGAAGCAAGCGAAAGGGAAACGATGAGGACCGAGAAAAAAATCCTCTCATACGGCAGCGAGAAAAAGACAGCGAACGAAAAGCGATTGTGTCATCTAAGGACTATCGGGAAAAGGATCAAAAGAGCGAGCGATCGAGTGACAAAAACCGTGATCAACGAAGAAGGCTCGAGTAATTTGGAAAATAGAGCACGGGGAACTCCTGAATCTACCGGATCCAAAGTGCTGCATCAAATCAGCAAGGAACCCATCGTTAAACAGACCGGATCCCAGTCAAAAGAATCAAGAGAAGCTGTGTCTCAATCAAAAGAGTCTGAGGAAGCAACAACTGCAGTTCGGAAGCAGAAAGTGCCGGTCACTGCTCCTAATGAAGAGGAGCCAGTAATGAAACAATTGAAAACGGTGTGTTTATTTGTTTTTGATAGATTCTATGGTCTAAAGCTTTTTCTCTTGTTGATGATTGTTCCAAGAGCTTTAATCTGGCTTGACCATTTTCTTCGTTTCTGGTCACACTAACCATTGGTAGACTAAATCACAGTATATTTATTGAGATCGATACCAGTTCTAGAATTAAGTCATAGTAACAAAGTAAAGCGGAGGCCTGGACCGTAGAAATTACAGTTCTAAAGGTTTTTTTAACGTTCGAGTACATGTCAACTTCTTTTTTCTGGTTCGAAATTACTCAAAAAAATTGGATTTTCCGTGATTCATCAATTTCTAACTATGTGTTTTTAGGAAGGTGCAAATACGAAAAGTCCGACAAAAGCTGCTCTTGCATCGATGGTGAAGTTTAAGGTAAACGCGGCAGCTGCGAAAAAAGTGGCCCCAGGTCTGAAGCCATTTGTACCCGTGGCTCAAGAATCGACAGACGTTGAGGAGGATAAAAGTAAGGTAGTGCGATTTTCGCTCGTTATTTTGGCAGTGTTCCTTCATTGTCTTGTGGTACGGTCAAATGTCTTCTTTTATCGGTCCAAATTCCTTCGAAAATTTTCAGGCGTCGGCAACAGACGACGACGGTGGAGGTGATCGGAGAATGCGTGAGGCCTTTTCTCCACCAAAACTTCAGAGAAAAAAGATCACTCTCAATCTCTAAGCTCCGAAGGTTCAAATACCTTCCCCAAATTGGTCGGGTCTATTGAAAGCGTTAGAAACTGTTGTTCATTGCATACTCTAGTGTGTTGTATGTTGTGTTTCAGGCATCTGTTATTCGTTCCTTGAGCTGTTTTGGAAAACTGGTTTTGTTTGTAGTATATCCGGTAAAAGTGCAGCAACGGTCACTTTATGTGCTGCTTCCCAAATTTGTATTCTTCTGTTGAATTTGTCATTTTAATAAAATTCTACAAAGTCGTTCGTGTTTTTTATGCTGCAGGGGTTGTTGCCTTGATTTATCATTATGCTTTGTTTAAAAGTGAAAAGCGCTCGCAGTATAGGTGCCCATTCGACCACTAAATTCTAAAACGGATTTGAGGACTGGTTGAATTTATTTTTACTCATGGTGGGACATCGCTAGTGCCTTTTGGGATGGGAATCGCAATCCACGGTGTATATGTGTAAGTGCCGGGTCGCACTTTACAGACGCGGTTCGTGTGTGGAGTAGATACATATCGATTGTGCGATCGCATGATCAAAAGTGCTCACTCTATACTCGAACTGCAAATCGAACTGCACCTGCGACCTGGCCACCCTTGAGCGTGTGTTGTTCCCGTCAGCTAATAAAACAACGGCGGCTTTCCGTAGGAACAGCGGGTGTAGTTTGCTAGGACAGAAAG